TGTCAAATGCTTCAAAGAGGTCAAGAAGGGCAAAAACTGAGAAAAGACCAACCATATCTGACATTTAAGAGATCACTGGTAACCTTGTAAAGAGCAGCTTCAGTCGAAAAATGTGAAGCCAGAATATAAGGGAATCAGGGGAGAAAGTGAAGACAAGAAATGGATATGAGTTTACATGGCTTTTTTATGGCTGAGAAAGGGACTAGAGATATAGGAAGATAGCATGGAGGATTTTTTTTTAAGGTTGGGGAAAACTCAGATATTTGTTAGCAGTAGAGAAAGAGCCAACACAGAGAGAGGGGCTTAAACTAAATGATTCTGGGAGCAAACTGCCAGAGGAGATGGCAGGGAATAGGATCAATGACATAAAGTGGAGGTGTTAGGGAAGAGAAAGGCCACCTTTCCATCAGAAATTGGAACAAAGGAGGAGAAGATGAAAGATGCTGTAAAAAAGTTGTGAGATACAGAATAGGGGAAAAGTGAGATCTCAGTATTAATGACCTCTAAGTATGAGAGGTCACCTGCTGAGAGGGAAGTGTGAAGAGATAGTGTGGTAAGCTGGAGGAGAGAAGAAAGGTTTGGAACAATCATTGTAGGAGATGCAATAAGACCCAATGATGGAAGACTAAATGGATTGTCTTGTGTTGTAAGGGTCCAGCAGAGACCAGATAACAAATTTACAGCATGGTTGTGTAACTTCTTCCAAAACCACTCAACAACATGTGAGCAAAGGTGGAGAGGTTGAATGGTGCTCGTGTGGGTGGGGTAGTATTCCAAAATTTGGGTTTGGTAAAGGATAAATGATTATAAATTAAAGGGTAAGGATTTCAATACAGAGGACAGTGTACAGACTGTTTAACTACAGTCTCAAGATTGGGAAGGAAAGGGGTAGCTAGGTGATGTAGTAGATGGAGCACTGGCCCTGAAGTCAAGAGGACCTCACTTCAAATCCAACCTCAGACCAAGCATTTGACACTTACTAGCTGTGTGATCCTGGGCAAGTCACTTAATCTCAATTGCCTAAAACTAACAAACAAACAAACAAACAAAAAAGATTGGGAAGGAAGGAAAATTAATTAAGCCACGATATAGGATAAGGGCAATGGCCTGGTAAAACACTGAGAGATAGAGATACTGGAAGTTGTTGTGAGGACAAAGAATAAGTATAGGAGGAGTAAAGCACAGGGAAAGAAAGAAGGAATTTTAGAGTTCTTGCTCATAGAAGTGGTGATGGTGAGATCTGGGGGAGATGGGGAGATGGCCTTCCACGTGGGTGGTAGAGGTTTGTAGCAGAGGTAGAGGGCCTGGCAGTTTAAGAGACTGATGAACCAGAAGGTCAGAATGTTTGAGACAACATTGAAAAGTATATGGAAGTACCCAAGGATGAGGGCAGTGTTTGGAGGGGAGAGGAAGACTATGGGCCAGATACTAAATTCCCTGAAAATGGAAGGAGAATGATTTGGTGGCAGAGGTGATTGCCATCAGGATTTGGAGAGGGTCATCTATCTGGATCAAGAGCATTTCAAAGGAAAAACCGTAACTAAGTGTACATAGCAGAGAGATGATGCGCAAGTGGCAGTGGGGAACGAATAGGCCTACACCTCTTCCAGAGATAGCGAGAGAAGGTCCATCTAGTACTGAAGGAGCTCAACAAGGATTGCAGTCTCCTTTGGAGGTGGGGTGGGACCTGGGGGGAGGGGGGACTGGAAGGGGGCAGGAAAGTCTGATTGCTAGAAGATGGCGGAGAGAGCAGGAGGAAAAGAGGAAAGGAAATGGAAATAGCACGGTCTTTGGAGTCAGAGGACTTGGGTTAATCTAATTCTGATACAGTTTAGCTTTAGTTGAAGTAACCCTAAGCTCTCTGGGCCTCAGTCTCTCATCTGCAAAATGTTGGGGTTGGCCTCTGATGCTCCTGGCTGCTCTAGCTCTATGATACTGTTTGTTTAAAATACTAGCACAAGGGATCCTGAAAGGTGTAACCTAAGGAGAAGCCAGAGCTGGCTAGGGACCAGTGAGGGACAGGACTGTGGTGGACGGTGATTAGAAAACCGGGCTTGATATCAGGAGAAGGGGGATGGTTTTCTTTTAGGCACACCACTTCCATTTTCCTGGTTTCAGGAGAAAAAGAGGTAGGTGTTTACTAGCCATGTTTACCTATGGAATATGATGATGAGAAACAAAGAAACAAATAAAAAACCGCAACAACAACAACAACAAACCCCAAAGGGTTTTGAGCAGCTGAAACGGATACTGCAAACTCCACATACTTTCATTTATAGGTTAAAAAAAAAAATCTGTCGGTAAGCCTTCCCTCAGAACATATTCAGTTTTACTTTGTGCATAATTCTAATAAGTCAGGTCATTGGTTTCCTAAGCCCTAACAAATCAGAAGCAGAAAATGAGAAGGGGAGAGTGGTTGCTACAGGCAGACTCTCTGACCAGATTGAGGAATTGTAGCAAAGAGGGAGGCAGAAAACTTGGGCTTACAAACAGCACAGAAACAAAAAAAACATACAGGAAGATCAGACAATCGAGTTACAGCACGGCTCAATAGTCAATGTTCCCAATGATGATGGCAGCAAGCCAGAAGAGGTGCTTCGTACTATATTTAAGGTCACAGATAATTATATTTCCATTCACAATAATTATCATGTAAAAAGGAAACAAACTGTGATGCTTAAGTTTATTTGGAAAATGAGGCAACCGAGAAAGAAGTCAGGGCTTTGTTATTGTCATTGTTCTTACTCCAACTACTCTATTTACCTAGGTTTACCCTTACTAATGCTGTCTCTAAAACTAACTTCTAGATAACATGGCCATTTTTTAAAAACTTCCTACCAAAGTCCTATTCCAGTGTTTTATGGCAAGGTGGTAACTCTGTGCTCTGAATAGGTTGGAATTTAATCTTTTAAAAATCACAGTAGAAAAGTATTTTAAAAAATTAAAATAGCATTTCTTCTCTGTTTTTGATTACATTATTCATTTTTTGTTGTTGTTGTTCAGTTGTTTCAGTCATGTTTGAATCTTCACGACCCCATGTGGAGTTTTCTTGGTAAAGACACTGGAGTGGTTTGCCATTTCCTTCTTCAGCTCACTTGACATATCAGGAAATTGAGGCAAACAGGATGAAGTGACTTGCCCAGGGTCACACAGTAAGTGTCTGAGGCCACATTTGAACTCAGGAAGCTAAGTCTATCCATTATGCCATCTAGCTGTCCCCACATTATTCATATCACATTAGATTTATGTTACAGGATGAATTTATGAATTAACCATTCTAAAGGGCTTGTTAGGAGGCCTTTATATATTAATGACTAAATATTTTTGTTTTTATAACTCTTGTTGAATCTACCTTATAACATAAAATTTAGCAAAATTGTAGCTAAATTTAGTTTTTTCCTGATAACCTTTTTAAATCAATTCAAGTGACATAATTTATATAAATTTTTGTTGCAGTGTTAGAATTTTGACTAAGGTTAAATAGTTTAGAAGGTGAGGAGAAATAGCAGCTATATAGCTAACCCATCTCCTTTACCCAAGGAAGAAACATGGGGAATCAGAAAGAATAATGGATAACGAGTTAAAATGAATAGTAGCAATGAGGAATACGAAAGAGCAAAACCTGATCCAACAGATGAGAAATTTGTGTTATAGTACACTACCTTATTTATTTTCATAAGTGTTTAAATATGAAAGAAAAGTCAAACAATATTTTTATTTTATGCTCAATGATCATAAAACATTTTTTAAAAGATTATACAAATGACAGAATCTTCAAAATGAGTAGGCCTAAGCTGAACGGAAAAACTAAAAGGAGAATTGTTATTTCAAGAATTAGCCCATGGTGGGGCAGCTGAGTGGCGCAGTAGATAGAGCTCTGGCCTTGGAGTCAGGAGGATCTGAGTTCAAATGTGACCTCAGACATTTGACACTTACTAGCCTTGTGACCCTGGGCAAGTCACTTAACCCCAAATGCCTCATCAAAAAAAAAAAAGAATTAGCCCACTTTTCTATGAATTTCTTTAAATCTTTATAAAGATAAAATCCAGGACAGCTTTTATCACGTAAGGATCTTTATTCCAGATCCCTTAGAAAAGTCAGATAACTTTTTAGTACCTCTGGTACCCATTTGCACCAATGTGATTATCTTGAACTTTTAGTAAATTTGTTGTTTTAAAACAACTATTTACTATGACACAGTATTCTGGAAGTTTTGCATGCCCCTGTGGAATAATGAATATTAACTTGAGAAATTACTAAACGTGTCAAGGATTATTAATAGGACTGTCATTTTTCTTTCATGGTATATATTTTTGCCATGTTAAATTTTGTTATTCCATTTAGCTATTACAAAATCTTTGTCTAGGAGAAATGGAAAGACAAAAAGACTGGGGAAAGGGAAGGAAAAAGTGAGTAAGAAAAAGAGAGCTGGTATGTGTTTGAGGGGCATGTTTTCTAAGTTATAAAAGCATTGATTTTAGTAATGCTATCACTAAAAAAAATATTTTTGTAAAAAAATGGCAGTTCTGGTGCCAAATAGATAAATTATTATATTCTTCAAGAATTTCCTGAAAACAACTTGTATAGTGTTTTATAGAACAACCTTGGTATCCAGATATTGATTCCTTGAATAAGCACTGGCATTTTTCTATAAGACATTCTTTTAACATTTTTATTTCTTTCTAGTTTTTCAGGATTATTTCAAAAAATCTTTATTTTTGTTTGTCCTCTAACTGGAATTTAACATTTTGCCTGAAATAAATGATCTTCACAAATTCAACAAACCCGAAAACAGGGATTTCACAGTGCCACCAGAAAATTTTGGGGTTTTTTTTTTTATGATTCAGTATGCTTTTATAGGTGATCTGGAGGGACTGGTCTACAACAGACCACCTGAGAAGATTAGGAAAATTACTTTGAAATGAAAAGATGGTCATTGGGACAGCCCGCAGTGCTGAACAGCCATGTGACAAAAAAGGGCACGAGATCTTTAGACTTACTTTGCGTTAACTTGATTTGCTGTAGTCAGGTTAGCCAGTGCGAGAGAGGCCGCTTCTCTTATATCATCATTTTCACTTCTCAGCAACTGAACTATCTGCGGGATCCCTTTAAAAATATAGATCAAAAATGTGACTAAGTAAATTATAAGACACTGGAGAAGGAGCAAACCTATCCAGTATCTTTACCAGGAAGACCCTAGAAGGCGGTCACAGAGAGTCGGAAACAACTGAAAACAACTGAACAAGTGTCAGTGTAGGATATCATATTTCACATTACCTTGAGTATTAAAAAACTCTTTGCTGGCCAAACTCTCAGACATCGCTGAAATCACTTCGGCAGCTGCAACTTTCGTCCCATCGTTTTCGGCTCCCAAAAGGGTTATGAGACATTTCTCCACCTCTTGTTCGTGCAGAATTTTTCTATTTTCAGCTTTTTGTAAAGAAAAAGAAAATTACTTTTTAAAAACTGCTGCAAGGGAGCAAGGAGCACGCTGTTAATGGGGTTTGAGCACAAACACCAAAGTAAGTTCTTCAAGAAATGTGAGAATGTTACTTTCAACTTTAGTGATAAAGAGGCTAAAGGACAGAGAACTTCTACCTATTTAGCCTTTAAGCCAATGAACTTATTCACACTGCACAGTGTTTGCGAATATGATCTTTTCTAATGCTGTCATCATGGAAATTATCCTTTAATAAAGAGGCTAGCAGGCCACTAATTATAGAGGGATGCTGGTCAATGTTAAAAAAACAAAAACAAAAAACTGCCTCTCTGAAAAACTGCATGTGTGACACACTTTCACGTTTAATCCGCATCATTGACATTTCTCCATTCCTTTCTTAAGTGTAAACCATCAACAAAACAAGAAATCGAACTCTGATTTGTACTATACACCAATTTTCTTTTCTTTTTTATACAGAACATTTTAATTTTATATATTTATTTATTTTTGATTTTTATTTTTAGGCAATTGGGGTTAAGTGACTTGCCCAGGGTCACACAGCTAGTAAGTGTCAAGGGTTTGGTCTGAGGTCCGATTGGAACTCAGGTCCTCCTGACTTCAGGGCCGGTGCTCTATCCACTGCGCCACCTAGCTGCAGCTGTAGACCAATTTTCAAGGGTGTAAATGCTCACACTGAAAACTGAATGATAGATTTCTTTGATCAGGTGTGAGTTAACTGCAGTACACCCTCAATAACTTGATGGTTATTTAAAGTGTACTTGGGGGCAAGGGAGGGAGTCCAGATCTGTGGTTTCATCAATCTAGGAAATTCCTGGTAAGGAAAGTCTTCCCCACCTTCCCCAGCTGCAGATGACAGTATGGCAACACTGTAATACACGGTCTTAGAGAATTGCCTGGGGGGTACCAAGAGGTTAAATGACCTGCCCAGAGTCACACAATATACATCAGAGGCAGGACTTCGGAACCCAAGCGTTCCTGATTTCAAGATCAGTCCTGTATTCATTACACATGATTTTTATTGCTTTCTGTCCTTGGTTCTCGAAGAGGACCATGACATCAGGGAGGTGATGGCATGACATGCAAGTGAGTTGGATTTAAGGGAGGAAGGGCTGTGTGAAGTCATCATCCTCAGTTTCTCTTTTGGAACCAGAACTATTGGAGATGGCCCAGGATGCAGTGGGGGACCTTGGCTTTTTCGAGCTAAGGTCTTTAACAGGTCTCAGTTTGACTGAAACAGCATCCATTCAGTGATTAAGACTTAATAAAAGTGAAGCAAAGAAGAGCCTCTTTAAAAAAAAATACACTTGGGAGGGGAAGACCCTCAGGGTTTCTGGCCAAAAAGGAAACAATTATTGTTTATATTCATTCTGAGAAAGAAGTAAAAGATCAGACCAACCTAAGAAAAATGATATTGGATGTTGAGGGTTTTCATTAAACTTAACATGACAAAATAGGTCTTTTATTTTTATACATGCATACCTCACAGACCAATTATTTCTTCAGCTTGGGCACTCCCACAATTAATACATTCCTGAGTAGATAGTTTTCATTACTGACTATGATAGAATATTTCATCACTATGTATTAAACCCGCGTGATTGGTCTCTTTGGACTCAGCGAGACTGGACCTCAGACCATTGACACATAGTCCATGCTCTTGGGTTTTCCCAGCTCGGTGAGCCCTACCACCTCTAATACTCTACTGGCATGATTTTGGAGATCCCAGGGTCATGTTCGGATTGGGTGAGAACAGGAAGTTAGTGGAGGGCAGAGTCTGAAATCATTGTTTATAATGATAAATGGGAATTAAAATAACAAAAGCATTCATAAACCACAGCTTTACTTGAATAAATATAAAGGCCTGTGTGTATATCTATGTATGTGACATACATGCAGATATGAATATATATGTGTATGTACATATGAACAAGCACTTATTAAAGGCCTGCTATATGCTATATACTGCATTAGATGCTAGGGATAAAAATATATAGGATAAAAATCTTTTTTTTTTCTCAAGGAGTGTGTATATGTATATATCTACATATAATCTGTCTATACACCCATGCATATATATCCATACATCTATACACATATATGTATATATGTATGTGTGTATATAGAGGGAGACTATGGATTGTCATACTCTTCTAACCTAGTAACACAAAACCAGAATGAAAAATATAAGGATGTTTTCACCTAAACATCAGGTACTTTCCTTTTTCTATCTTGGCCTTTGGATTTGACTGGATTTTTTATAAATAAAAATAAAATTAGTAAATAAACATGATAAAGTCATTTCATCAACTTGAAGTAGAAAATTGTTGAATGCCACAATAACTATTTTTATCTTCTGCAGCTAATTCTAAGTAATTCAATTCCTATCTTATCAAAAGCATGTGCTGGGCAAAAAATTGTAGATCAGATTATGCCCTAGAGAGGGTACAGGAGACTGGTTTGACAAGTAACGGAGTTTACAATTGGTCTGTTTCTTGCCAATTTAGTTAATTATTCTTTGTAAAGTTTGGTCATGGGTCTAGATTCTTTACAAATTAACTTTTAATAAAATAAATTTATATCATAAGGGCAGGATGGCTAATTATGCTTAATAATAAACCACTATATAAAAGACTGATTTTACAGATTCAAAAAACTTAACAATTCATGATAAGAATTACATGAAGAAATAAATTTAATTTAAAAAGTATGCATTTCCCTTTAATTCAAAACTACTATTCAAGATGTTTTCTGAAATTATTGGCAACTAAATATTATTTTTAGTTACCAAATGCTTTCCCCTCCCTTTTACAGTGATCTGCTATTCACATGCAACAATGAATCATCTTTCTAACAGACAGTTACTATCTTTGACCCTTCACTTATCTGAACATATTGACCTGGAAAGAGTAGATGTAATATGGTCAGTGCAGTCTTCTGTTCAAGAACTTTAAGCCATTAATTAATGAACTGTGTTTCACCATTCTATCCTTTTAAATCTTTTAACCTCTTAATTTAAAACTGAACTCAATCTGTCCATAAACATGTTTAGTTTAAAAAGAAATCTATATTTAAACATTTGACTCTTTGATATATTCACTTCCAAAATATAACTTTAGGAAGATTCCATCTAACCATAATATTTGAAAATTTAATACAGTTTGATCCAAATAGCTATGTTCACAACGTACTTCATGATATATGGAGCTTTCTTTTTCAAATCCAGCTTTCTAAATAGACATCACCAATGTCACTTTTTTTTAAAATGGCACCTTAACATCCATTGTCAAGAGAGCTAATTTAGGAAACTGGCTTTATAGTAGGTAACTGTTACACCTCGAAATAGTACATATATAATTATTGGAGAAGTAAAAAAAAAATCATTTAAATCAATATCGCAGGTAATTAGTTTCCCAACCCTGCTGGGAATGTTCTAAAAATCCAGCTGTGTTCACCAAACCTCAAAAGTGCAGACTGCTGTGTGGTTATAACAGATTTGAAAGATGAAAACAACCTATCAGCTCAGTACTTTGTTGAATTCCTACACCAAGTGAAGCATTTACATTTTAATTACAGAAAACAGTGAAGATGTATATGTGAGGTAAGCTGTTAGTACAGTAATGAACCTTAAAACAGTGATTTTTAGTGCCACTTAAAAAAAGAAAAGATACAGAATTTTGTCGTCACAAAAACTCACGTTCATACTAATTTTCTTTCTCGATCTAAGGAGTTGCTCTTCTGTCACCTTCATCCCTAATGCCAAGTTAATGCGAGTCCATAAACCTCGCTGGGAGCAGTGTAATGAACTCTTTCATCCTCCTGGTGTCAGGTCAAAGGCTGAGCAATCTTGGTTTTACACACGGTTAAGGATATGTAACTTCTTCACTCACTCAGCTGAATTTCCTGTTTTATAGCCACTATTAAAAAAAAATGTTTCACATATGGTTCTTGGCATTGGGGATCAGAGGAGGGAGCAGCAGTGGTGATTTCACCAGCATGGGCAATCCCCAGCGTGGAGACTCCTTGCAAAGATTTGCTATTCATCTGTACTTTGTAATGAGGGCATGTAGTGCATTCAGATAGCATATAATTGCATCTGCATAGTAACCGTACACAGTAGATGCAGAAGGGCAGCTAGGTGGCGCCATAGTGCACAGAGTCGTGAAGACTCATTGCTGAATTCCAATCTGGCCTCAGACATTTACTAGCTGCGTGACCCTGGGCCAGTCACTCAACCTCATCCAGGTCTAGTTTCCTTATCGGTAAAATGGGGGAAATTTACCTCATCTACTTTTGTTGTTGTTGTTGAAGTGAGGTTATAAACTCAAGTGTTCTTGACTACACATCCAAGGCTCTAGCCCTACACCACCTAGCTGCCTAACTTTTAGAGACAGATTGCCAAGATCTATGTACTGGACATTTTCTAGGGTTTAAGGTAGGGACACATACATACATACATACATACATACAAAAATGGTAAATGTTTTTGTATTTCTGGTACTATTTCTTATTGATGTTTTTCGGGTGTGATTTGACTTTCGAGTTTGTCATGTTAGGACTTGTGGGGGCAGGACTAGCTAATCAAGCAACATGCATTTATTAAATGCCTACTGTGTACTAGGCACTGTGCTAGTGCCAGGGATATGGGGGCAAAAATGAAGCTGTCCCTGACTTCAAGTGGCTTACCTGGGGAGTTTAGGGAGGGGAGAACAAAGCACACACCTATAAATAAATGCAAAGTAAATACAAAGGAAGAGCGACAGATTTTGGGAGAGAGAGTTACTAGTTTCTGAAGGGATCAGGAAAGGCCTCATGTAGGAAGTGGCATTTGAGCTGAACTTTGGAAAATATCTAGGAGCTCTAGGGGGTAATAGTGGGGAGTGGATTGGAGGCCCAGCGGGCATCCATTCCAGAGGTCAGGAGACAAGAGATGGAGTGCTGTGTTTAAGGAACAACCAGCAGGCCAGTTTGT